GTATCTTTTTTGATGCTTCAAAATTAGTATTTAAATTACTAATTACTAAACGATAATCGTATTTTAAAACAATAAGACCAATTAAATTCTAACGTAATGTGAATCAAGAACGATACTTTGCAAATGGCCACTATTTCAATAGGTATTTTCATCCCTGTTTCCATATGTTTTTTCTTCGTATTAACAATAAAGTCTCTAATTGGCTTATTGGCCCGAATTACATGACAATCTGTAATGTAACGCATGCACATACATGTGGATGATCGACAAGGCGCTAAAAGTACAAAGACACAACTTTGTATCATATTGTTAAGCTAGATCTCACCTTAAATCTACACTTGCGCGACTAATTGTAAAACAATAACTATTATATATGTAAAGGACTTGGAAAGTTTCTTTATGGAAAAGTTCATAGGAATTCAAATTAGAAGCTATAAAATTAGATATATTACACTATCTAAACTAACGTTAAACTTTAATGTTAAATCTTATTTTTTTTTTTTTTACAAGTAACAATTGGAGTTATAAGGGATTCATAATTAAGTTTAAAAGATCCTACTTCTATTTTTAAGATTCCGACTCAACAAACTAAATAATGAAGTAGATGCACACATTAATAGTATTTTCCGTGTAAACAATTACGCAATAAGTCTATATGTGTCACATATTTTAATTAGGGTTCTGCAAGTGTCGGGCATGTACTATTAAAAACGTTGCTCAGGCCTGTGCCTGGCACTATGTTTTAGTAGTGCCCGTGCCTGGCACTTGCAGAACCCTAATTTTAATGTAAATAGATCTCATAGGCAGAAGTTTGTCTGATTGGCCAATAAATTCAATTTATTTTACATTATTTATACGGTTTAGAGTACTTTTTAAAAATAAATACCATATAGAAAGTTTCATTAGAGTTGTAAGACTCCATGGACAAAATTAAGATCTAGTTCTCGTCCGTTAAAAAAAAATAGCTTAGTAATAAATTGATTTTATCGGAATTAGATCTTATTTTTGGTCATGAAGTCTTACAGCTCTAATGAAACCTTCTATATGGTAAAAAGTACTCTAAACCGTATAAATAATGTAAAATTAAATTGGATTTATTAGCCAATCAGACAAACTTCTGCCTATGAAATAGATCACTTATTTTATCTGAAATCGGATGACAAATCATTAATTAATACAGTAATAGAGTTTTATTGTTATTAGCAATGTATATTCAAAATAGCTCTTTACAATTATTGATCAAAAATAAAAAAATTTAATTAAAATTGTAATTTTCAAAATATGAATTTTTATTTTCGATCGCGGTAAAGTTTTCATGACGAATATTGACTATTTTTAGGTGATGATGTATAATGCATGTCTAAATTCTTAGCTATGTGATGATTAGCATCCCATTTCTCGATTCCCAATTTATTGTTATTGTCGGAATTATTGTGATACTATTCATCACATAATTCGGGACGGATATTTTAAACAATAAACCCATTTCCAAATTTGATACATGCCACCTATTTTTAACTAATATTTATTAGGTATTGGTATGCAACTCCTATTTTTGAACGTAAAGTTTACGCCTACCGCTATGTAAACTTAATTTACAATTTACAAATATGGAAAATTTTAATGGATGGCTATGCATTTTCAACTAATGATGATTCTTATTCTGAACGACGAATACGTACTTTATACAATGCACATTTCGAATCTACAGTACCTGAATAGACATGCATTTATGAATCCACACCATAATTTTCTGGATGAGTAATAGTTTGATAATTAACCATACTCTTTAGCGAACAATATAAAGATGATGGATTTTCCTCAATTTCAAACTTCATCTCAACAGTGTAGGAAAACATAATAATAATAATAAAATATGGGATTAAGTCATTCATCAAGTTTTCATGCCTCTCATGTGAGAGACGTATCAACATTTAATAACAAAATTATTATCAAACCATTTGAAGAGATATACCCACGTTTGGATATTTTGGACTTTACGCAAAATGAAACATATAGACCTCAATTAGATTTATTAATTCAAAGTTATCAAGCCCTCTTTGATAAACCCTATGGTGATATGCGATCATTTTACCAAATTGGTGGTATTCATGGTCTTCCATATACTGCCTATGATGGCGTTATTGGTGATCATGGATACAAATCATCGGAATTAGATGAAGGTCGTTGGGGTGGATATTGTCAACACGGAAATATTTTATTTCCACCTTGGCATAGACCATATTTATTATTAATGGAATCTCAATTAGTTTCTGAAGCAAAAGAAATTGCTTTAAAATATCCTGAAAATGAAAGACAAATCTATGTTGAGGCTGCAAAACAACTTCGTCATCCTTATTGGGATTGGGCCGATGAAAAGGCCATAAAAGGTATTCCAGAAATCTTTATATCCCCTGAAATAGAAATTAATTCTCCGGATGGTAAAAAGAAAATTAAAAATCCTTTGAAAAGTTATACTTTACCTGTTGATCTTTCTTATCCTCTTGAAAAAGGTCAAAATCCGACAGATAAACCTAATTATAAAATTCCAAACATGACTTATAATCCATTTACTCCCGCTGGTTATTCAACCATTAGGCACCCTAATTCTAACTATGAAGATCAATATGATATTATGAACATTAATATTTCCACTTATGTTCCCTCTGTATTTAGACCGGGATTGTACCAAATGTTTCACATTAATGATTATTTACACTTTAGTAACCATGGTCTCACATCCAGTGGTACACAAATGGCTGATTCAAATCCAGGTCATCCTGACCCGGCAAAAATTGTTGGATATGCTCATTTTGCTTCTATTGAAACAACTCATGATGGTTTTCATATAATAATTGGTGGTCTTGGAGGTCATATGGCTTATCCTGATATAACTGGATTCGATCCGTTATTCTATTTTCATCACCTCAATGTGGACCGTATTTTTGCCCTATGGCAGGGTGTGTTAGTATTATATTTTTAACCAGATAATTTATATGAATAATTTATATGAATAATTTATACGAATAATTTATACGAATAATTTATAAGAATAAATATTAACAATAAATCACTTTTTTCTATATAGATTTCCAGATAGTTGGGTTCCGTCAAACATTAATATCAACGGAACTTATACCGAATTAATGAACACAACAGTTGATGGAAATTCTGACTTGACACCATTTAGAAAATCTGATACTGCATTCTGGACGTCTAATGATGTTCGTTACATAGAAAAACTTGGTTATACTTATCCTGAGTTGGCTAAATTTAAGGGTAAAGATCCGAAAGAATTACAATCTTATCTTCTTGAATTATATAAACCTGATCCTCATTATGGTCGAAGATTTTTCGCAAAATTAACAATTGAATCTGGAAAATTGATTGGTCCATACTCTGTTAGAGTTTTTGTTGATTTAGCCAGTGCTAATGCTGATACTCCTGTAACTTCTCCACATTTCGCTGGCTTCGTTGCCATGTGGCGTAGTACTAATAATCACCAAGCTAATAATAATTCTTATATAGTAGGAAGTGTAGATATCACCGCTGCTATGGAAAGATTGGGAATTAGAATGCAAAAACATGATTATGTTCAAGATGTTAATGCTACTACTGGCTTATTGATGTCAACTTCAATTTTTAATGTTGAAACTGATATAAATATAGTTCCTGTTTCACTGGATGGAAAAGGTATTAGTCTGAAAGATGCTGGGGTTAATAAAGTTGAAGTATTTTCATTTCAACATGATGAAGTGAATGCAAATTTCTTGGTTGAAAGCTCGGGTGAATTCGTTGGTTCCAAAAAATTTTAAATTTGTAACAAAAGACATTCAAATTATTTATTGTAAATTAATCATCACGAACTTTACGTAATATACGATGTAATACTAAGTTTATATACTTAGTATTAATTTAGCATGTATTTGATAAAATTTTCGAAATTGTATAGTGTTGGGTTCGGAAGTTTGCGACTCTGTCGCTCCAAAATTCTAAACCTCGCGTAACGTACGGTAAGTAACCTTTTCGAAAGAGGGTGTTAGA